GTGGAATTCAGTCACATATATATTCAGTACTATTATTCTTGCACGTGTTTGTTTCGCACTCATGATTCTAAATAAACAACCATTTTTTTATTTTTATTTTTTGGAATTTTATTTAAATATATCCTTCAAAACGGATCACGTTATCCTTTAAAAATTAAAGCTGAACACGTAGGGTTCGTTTGACATAGCTGTGGTTTTCTGTTTTTTGGCTTTTTGTTTTTTAAAAGTATATTATATATGTCATATAATAAATCAAAAAATATTTAAGCTTATATATATAGTTGTAAGGTTTAAACATAAGTTGTCCTGCCATATAATTGAAGTTTTCCAGCCAAAATGCATTTATTTCATGCCTCAAATTAGGATGTAATACGCATTATATTATATGCTACTCCGTACAATGCTACCTTGTAAAGTTTGATTGCTTAATTATTATATTGTTGTATTTGCAGTATGATTTAATCACAATTGAAGAAACAGTGAATAATTTGGCACCAAATTTCCTTGATAATTGTGTTTCTTCATGTAAATTTAATATATGCATGAAAACAAAAGTCCAAAAATAAAAACACCTCAAAAATTCAGAAAATTACCTTTTTCCAAACAAAGTAGTGAGGACAGCCGTTGCACCCGCAAGAGTAGTAGTAACAGCAGTCCTACCTATGGCACTCCACTGCCCATACACCGCCCCGCTTTCGCCATACGCCTTCATAATGGTAAAAAACAAACCCGGGTTAAAACCCGTACCACCCAAACCACAACAAAAAAGTCCCTAATGCAACCAATGATGCATTATGCCCTTTAAGTGACACCCTTTTACCTTTATGATCAAACCTTCCAATCCATGCATGCATTGATCTCAAGAACAGACTAACAAGATGTAAAGCTCTTTGGGTTTCACATCGTATGACATTTTTAATTTAAGGCAATTAAATTGAACATAACTAATAGAAGGGAGATTTCTACAGTTCTACTTATGAAACAAATTAACAAAACCCCAAAATTTACTATCAAGTCTGCTAAGGCTACTAAAACCCAATTAAACCCATAATCTAAAGCAAGTAAAAACAATTGAATATCAAAATTACAAGAAAAATAAAAAAAGGTGGACAAAATTAAACTCAAAATCGAAATCAAACATACATACAAATTACGATAATTATCAAAACAAGAGGGACAAAATCAAACATCACATACAAATTCAAACTCAAAAACAACAACCAAATCACAAAATCCAAAATCAAAACCCAAAAACTTAACGAAATCGAAACCCTAACCCAAATTATACAAAATTAACAAAACAAAGGAGGGATAAACCTTGTGAGGAATGAGGAGCAGCGTCGCCATTACAGATCTAGGCATCGTTCTCCAAGTTTTTTAAGGGCTTGCGCCATTAGTGACGACTGCGGTGGTGGTGGGAAGCTAGGATGGAGAGAGAGGAGGGTTGCACTGGTGGTGACTGCGGTGGAAAGCTAGGATGGAGAGAGAGGAGACACCAAGACAGAGAGGGGAGGAACAAAGGAACAGAGCGTGTTCAAATTTGAAGAGTATTTGGGAATAGGGCACCGGTTAACCGGTGTCATTTTCGCCTGTTTTATTTTTGTGGTCTAGACTTGCATTTTTGGCATCGGTTTTCAATATTCGGTGCATATTTGTCGGTGCGCATATATCTACAAAGTGTTGTAAGAAAATACTTAGTAAAACTCGACACGATTTGTTGTGAATATATAGGCTACTTTGAGCATCGAGAGAAGATGGAACAATGGGGCGTAGGTGGATTTGAAAGGATTGCAACAAAAAATTCAGTTGTGAATTTGTTGAAGAACGCATTATTAGGGAAAGATTGTGACGCTTTACATCTAATTCCATCGGCTTTTGTTTCTATGAATATGAAGAATATGATTGTTAAGGAAAAACTTCTATCATCCGCTCATGGCCTTTGTCAATGCTGGGAACAACATTCATGTTGGCAGTCTAAGCTTTACCAATATAATTAGTCATGGAATTGTATTCCAAAATCATAAACACTACAAGAATCAGGTCTAATAACGACGGACCTGAAAATCAGTCGGAAAAATCGATATTTCTGACGGATTTAATTTCTGTCGGACAATTCCGACAAATAAAAAAATTCCGTCGGAAATTTCCGACGGAAAATAAATCCGTCGGAATAATTGGACATTCCGACGGAATATTCCTTCGGAGAAGGTAATTTTCAACGGAACAATATTCCGTTGGAAATTTCCGACGGAAAAATCCGTCGGAACATATACTATAAAAAAAAGGAAAAAAAAAATTTCGGAGTATTTAACCTCTAACCCTAAAAGCTAACCTTCTTTCCGCCCCTTTTTTTCCCCTCACTTCTCTTTCCTTCTTTCTCTCTCCTTAACCCTCCTCCTTTCCTTCCCCTCCGTCCGCCCTTCTCTGACTTCTCTGATTCTCTCGTCTTCTCTTTCCTCTCTTTCTCTCTTATCCCTCCTCCTTTCCTCTCCTCTTTCACCCCCTACCACCACCACCAACAACAACAACGAAGACGAGAGACAACTAGAACGACGACGGCAACAAGAACGGCGACCACGTAATGCGCATAGATCTAGTTAATTTTTTAGAAATTGTAATGTTAATTTATAAATTTTATTAGATAATTGTATAATTATATATTTCCTTTTATTTTTGTGGTTTAATTAACGTTTTTTTTAAATTTTCTTTATGAAATTCTTGATAAATATGTAGATCTATTGGTTTTGATTTATTTGTGTGGTGTTTTTCAATTTTTTTGTCTCAATTTTCGTATTTTTGAGTTGATTTTCGATTATTGGGGTTATTTTCATTTTTTTTTGCTAAGTTTTGTGTTTTTTGGGGTTTATTTTTGGTGTGGTGGCATTTGGGGTTTAATTTTGGGGTTGATTTTCGATTATTGGGGTTATTTTCAGTCTTTTTTTTTTTTGCTAAGTTTTGTGTTTTTTTGGGGTTTTTTTTTGGTGTGGTGGTGTTTAAAGGTGGGAAAGGGCTAGGGTGGGTGTCGGTGGTGGTGTTTGAAGGTGGATTAGTGGCTGATGTGGGTGTTTTTGGTGTCGGTGGTGGTGTTTAATGGTGGAATCGGGGCTGATGTTTGAAGGTGGGATCGGGGGTCTGGTGGTGCGGGGTGGTTGCTGGTGATGTGGGCTGGTGGTGGGGGGCGGTTTTTTTTGTTTTTTATAATAAGTTTTCGACGAAATTTCCGTCGCAACATACCGACAGAACTCAGTCCGTCGGAAACTTGCGGGATGGGAACCCTCTTATTTTTGGGGTGACGAAGCTGACAATGGATTTTTCAACATATCAAATCAGGTATTTGAAATCATTTATAGAGGTCATGATAATCATTCTTAATTAAGCTTTTCTTTTTGGTTTATGCCCAAGTTTTAACTTGGGACAGTTCAATTATATCTTTTTTTTCTATAATCAAACAATTTTGTTTTTAGTGGCTTGATTTATAGAGGTTTTTAAATTGTGTATCAAAAAAATAGTATGTTATAAAAAATAACTTAATTGTATTATAAGTTTTAAAGCTTGTTAGAAATGGGAAGAGTATGTACGTAGTGGGTTGTAGTGGAATGGTAATTAGTGAATTGGAAATGAAGTATTGGAGTCAATGATGATGATGTAAATAATGTGTTTTTATTGCATGGCTTGAATTACATTGCAAGTATGTATGCCCCTATTTATAGTGGGTAATGTCGGTTACTTCCACCGACTTTACACCTTCAATTTATTTCTCGATTTTTCTTCTTCTTTCTCGATTATTCTAGGTAGTATGCTTCTGTCTAGGTTATCTAGATTCTTCTTTATTAGATATTTTTCTAGGTTAAAAGATATTTCTAGATTAGCTCATTTTCAACAAAACTCTGGTGTTGGCTGCGTTATCTATATATATGAAACAACTTATTGGTTTAATTATGTTTAAATTACTCTGATTTTTCCAACTTATTTCAAACTAAACAGAGGACCCTCTTATAGAATTAAGAAGATCAAAGGCACATATTAGCTTAACCTCTAAAATTTGTAATAGCATTTGATAATTATGTTTAAATTACTTGATCTAGATCTTTATTTCCTTTAGCGCTTAAGCAAACGCCAAAGGCCTTATTCAAAGGATTCGAAGCAGTAATATTGATGATTCAATTGATTCATATATAAGTGCAATACACAGTGAACCAATTAACAAAATTGATCAATCGTCAATGAAAGGATTTTTTTTATTAAAAATCTACCTAATAAAACTTGGATTTTATGAAAAACTACCAATAAAAAAAAGTGTTGTAAGAAATTACTTAGCAAAACTCAACACGATTTGGTGTGACTATTTGTTGTGACTATATAGTTTACTTTGAGCATCGAGAGAAGATGGAACGATGGGGCGTGAGTGGAATTGAAAAGATTGCAACAAAAAATTCAGTTGTGAATTTGTTGAAAAACGCATTAGGGAAAGATTGTGACGCTTTACATCTAATTCCATCGGCTTTTGTTTCTATGAATATGAAGAATATGATTGTTAAGGAAAAACGTTTGAATGAAGCTGAATTCTATGATTGAATTATTTCATAAGAATCTTTGATTTACATTTGAATAAACATTTGAATGAAGAACATGTAAAGCAGAAGTAATTTTGATCTCTTTGATTTTTTTCTGAAAAGAAGTTTGCGTTTACAAACTCAACAAGAATATGTTGCATTTTTTTAGTTTTGGGTTGTTATTTTTTTAAGAAGTTTATTGGTTTAAGTGAAGAAATGTTTTGATGGAGTTAATGCTTTGGCTTTTATTTATAGAGAACATGTAAAACAGAGTTATAAGCTATAACAGAGGAACTCACACATTGGCGGATGTAATGATATGCACTGATTATGAATCAATTGAATGATATGACAGTTTAGCAATATCAAATTTTGTTTCACGCAAAGCTTTATCCGAAGTGCAATTGAAATTTAATTGAAAATTTTCATGGGGTACAATTAATTGATCTAGACAACAAAACAAGGTACTCGAGGTACAACTAGATCTTCTGTCCCTTTAGCGTTTATGCAAATGCCAAAAGCCTTATCCGAAGGATTCGAAGCAGTAATATTGATGGACTCCATGGTGATGCCGGTACAAGCAACCGTGCTGCTACAATTTAGACTAATTGCTGCCGCGCTTGCTGATGTTCCTTGGAAGCCTTTATAGGTAATGCCTTCAATCGCCACAGCTGACTTCTTTAGTATGGTCATGTCGCGGTGTTATGAGCATAAGACATGAAGAAAGACAACAAAGAAGTTACTCAATTGTACAACTTTCTTAGGTGTATATATAAGAGGCTGATTCGATCAACCTCGAGTTTTTTTATCAACTTAAGCTATATTTACCTGAGCTGCACAAGTTTGACCAGGATTGCAGTAATATTGGTCAATAATAATTGGATTTTCTACGTTTATCAGAGGAATATCTTCAAAAGTGATGTTTCTTGCATAACCTGATCCACCCTATGTAACAAAAAATTAAAATAAAACTGCATTAGTTACAGTATAAGAACATCTTAAGAAAGTGGCATTCAATTTGAAATGAATTAATTGAATTTTCTTGTGTAGATTGTCCTGTTAATTAACCTGCCATGTTTTGATCCTAGCGCCGTTTGTGCTTCCATTAAAAGTGCAATTCCTTACATGAATTTGTTCTACTTGAGCCGTTTCTCCATCTCTTCCCAAGCTTCCAACACTACATGTACAAAAAGACACGGCAATATATGTACGTGTGCCTCTTAGCTTGTATATAAATATATAATCTAGAGACTTAGAATTCGAGCAAATTAAAATGTACTAAGATTGACAACCTTATACCGTGGCCTGGTCCACAAGTTATTCCTGTTATGTTAAGCTGTGATGTTCCTGATCCGATTGCTATACAATCATCGCCTACCCATATGATTCAAACGAATTCGACGTATTAGTAACATTAAAATCGATAATGAGTTTGTAATACATGAAAATCATGAATTATAAAGATTAAACACACCTGTTTCGATAATGGAATCGCTTATCTGAACTTGAGTCGAGGAACTAATATCGATTCCATCTGTGTTGGGGCTGTTTTCCGGAGCTACAATATGAAGATTTGAGATAGTTGCATTGTTGCAACTAACAATTGATATATGTCCATTGGGACTGTCTACATGTGTTAGGTCTTTTAATTGAAGACCATTGCAACTTAACAATTGTAGAGCCTGTAAATTTTGTTACCATAAAGACTTTAAAAATCAAAGCTAGGCTAAATGCGCGCGTGCACACACACACATATAAACTTATATATATATATACTACTCCATAGTACATTTTATTAAATCGAATTACCTTGGGACGTGTACACGCATTGCTCTATATAATGACAATTTTAGTTAGTGAATGTACGTATGGGATTAACAAATTGTACATGAACTATGAAATTAAATAGTAGTACTAGTCATATTGAACATACAGTAGAATTGGTGTCAAAGTTATTATCACCAAAGGAAAGGTTAGCACTGTGCCACCAATTCGCGCCTTTGCCATTGATCTCTCCTGATCCATCTAAAATGAGGTTGTCAATGCCTGAAAATCTTATCCAAGTGTTATCTGTACAATTCTTCCAAGTTTCAGGATTTTCGGGTGCCACGAGTTTTCCTTGGATCTGTCATTAATTAAGGATGATAAGTACTTAATTATCTATAACATGTATGAACTTAGAGTGATTTAATATGAACAGCATATAATAAGACCTGAACATGAATGCTGCTTGCATTGCAAGGACCTTGGAAAGAAACTGGAGTTAATAAGAATGGTCCATCCGGTATTGTAAGGGTTGGAGTTTCCCCTATAATAGCACATACAGCTTCCCATGCTTTTGAAAATGCCTTCAAAATTCGAACATACACCATATTAAATTATTAATAAGTCATGCATCTCGAATATTACCTACTTTATTTTTCAGTTTTACTTATTTACTATTCATGTGATCAAAGTAAAAAAAAAAAGGGCAACGATACCTAATTAGTGAATATAGTACACTTCAATATCATGTTAGATTGATTTCATTTCATGTGTTTTTATGATTTATTTTTATTTTCTTATCATTGGTGGAAGACCATGCATGTAAAATGCAAGTAAATAGAATCGAAATTAGAAAATTAAAGTCAAGTGTTACAAATCTTTTACCTACATTTTCCTACAAAAATACGTACTTTGTAAATTTGTAACGATGACTAGTTGCTATAATAAACCTATGCGAGCATAATTATAAAAAAAAATAATAATAAAAAAAAGGTTCAAATCTTCTAAGCTCAAACTATATATGACAACTTCAGTTTTCCACAGTAATTTTCCATTAAAATTATGGAGAATTTACGTAAAATTGAGGAAATCTTTTTTAAAAAAAAGTGAAAATTAGAAATCAACCAAAAATAATATAATCGTATATTTTCAAATAAATTTGATTCCGGACTTATGTAAATGTCAAAATGAATAGAAGATTGGAATAAAGAAGTTACGAGACTATCGTCTTTTAGGCCATCGCCAACGGCTCCACAATCTAGCACGCTAATATTATTCGATGGCGATGCAAGAGGACTACCATTTTCCATACGAATGCCCAAAGCAAGCTGGGAGACAAAAACATGTAGAAGAACGTACACACCGATTAACAAGGAATTGCCCTGCATATGAATTTCAACAACAAAAGAGTACATACGTTAGTACATTAAAAGACGGTCTATTTGTAAAATAAAAAGAGCCAAAAAGAAGTCAAGAAAATGTTGGGAGTTTCATTGATCTCATAAACAAAAATTTATCTACCACTTTATTCGACAACATTAAACAATACCAAAAAGTATGTGTCGTAAGATACAAAGAACATTAGATTTTAAATGTAGATTATACGTCTTACCATTTAAATTGATCGAACACACAATTTGAAAAATTACGACTATTATTTAGAGCTTGCTTTTGCATACATGTAAATTGTAATAGTCGAGTATTCACTAAGACAGTGTAAGAATTTATGGGACGAGTTTACATTGCATTTTTTTTTTTTTTTTTTTTTTTTTTTTTTTTTTTTACTGCTAAATGAGCATTCAATAGTTGGAAAGTAAATTTTGTTTTTATCTTGCAATTTAACGCAATATAAATTGTAAAATATCCTTTCAGATTGTGTTCTTGGGGATATATTAATAACTAAGGTATGAGACAAAATTGGGTGCACTTATAAATTCAATTAATCAATAATATCAACAGTTAAATGGCAAAAAGAAACTAATATCTTAGGAGTTATTTGAATTTATTAAATACTCCGTATGTTACCAAAAAATAAATTCCATACTTTTAATATTAATTAATATAACTAAAAATTGATACTTGCTATAATTTAAATTTTCTCATGTACTAAATAATTAGCTTCATTTTATTTTTTAACAAAAATAATTAGCTTCATAAAAATATGCAAATTAAAGATAATTGTAAGCTATTCATACCATATTTCTTACGGTGTTGCATCCTCCATTTCTCCATAAGTAATTGTTAATTTGTTATGCTTTTTCTTAAAGATTGGCGGCTATTTGTTAATTCTTTCAAAATTTGTACATTTTTTTTTTTTAACAATTCATTAATTTTTGGGAAATTCTATATGGGGGCCTCCAAGTTTTTATTTTTCTATGTGAAAGACACACTTTTTTCCAACTCTCTTAAGTGACGCTATGGTTTTGCAAAATTATATATAGTGTCCTTTTTTTGGGTTTATGCCTAACTTTTATAATTAAAATGGTTAACCTTAGATTTTTTGGTTTAAAAATTAATTAAATTATATTTTAAAATTAAAAAAAATAAAAAAATAAAAAAGAATTTTTTTTAAAAAAAAAAAACACCCCAAACCCACGACCACCCTCCCACCACCACGTCCACCCTCCCACCACCCCAACCCCCATACACCACCGGCGCCCATAATCCCTTTTTACCGCGCCGGCGCCGGCGGCCCCGTCCCCCATCTCCACTGGCGCCCAAACTCCCCCTCCCCCAGCGCGGCGTCCCCTACCCCTCCTTACCCAACGAATCGGACCACCAACCCCTTTCCATCCCCCACGAAAACCCAGAAAAACCATCCCTCCACCCTCGAAACTCCTTCTCCGTCTCAATCCCGGCGCCCTTACCCTTCTTCCTCCCAATTCCGACCCCCCTTACCTTCAACTACTCCGTTTCTTGGGATCTGGGTTGGTGGTGGTTTAGTGGAAACACGGGAGGGGGTTGGGGGTGATTTAATTGCGCTGGGGGAGGGGGAGTCTGGGCGCCAGTGGAGATGGGGGACGGGGCCGCCGGCGCGGTAAAAAGGGATTATGGGCGCTGGTGGTGTATGGGGGTTGGGCTGGTGGGAGGGTGGACGTGGTGGTGGGAGGGTGGTCGTGGGTTTGGGGTGTTTTTTTTAAAAAAAAAAATCTTTTTTTTTATTTTTTTTTATTTTAAAATATAATTTAATTAATTTTTAAACCAAAAAACCTAAGGTTACCATTTTAATTATAAAAGTTAGCCATAAACCCAAAAAAAAGGACACTATATATAATTTTGCAAAACCATAGTGTCACTTGAGAGAGTTAGAAAAAAGTGTGTCTTCCACGTACAAAAATAAAAACTTCGAGGCCACCATGTAGAATTTCCCTTAATTTTTTTTTTTTTATTTAATTGATTGAATAATTGATTTCCATGGATTGAATTTTCCATTCAAACTTTATTTCAAAAAAAAAAAAAAAAATTTCCATTCAAACTTTGATTGAAATTCCGCTTACTCTGTTTGGTTCTTAAACCCCTTTTTCCGCATCTTTTCTATTTTTGGCTCTTCAATTTCTGCATCTAACATGCTTATTGTCAATGTTTTCCAAGTTTTTTCAAAAGCCCAAAGCGGTATTTAGGATTTTATATAGTACTCTCTCCGTTTTTTTTTTTTAATTTGCTGGTCCCATAAGCTATTTTGGGCGTTTCTAAAAAAGATAGTATAATTTTGACACAAAAATCTTGAGAGTTAGATTATACTTTGCATTATATTTTTTTATTATTATTATTTTAATAAAAATACACTTATTTTGAAACAGTGTGGCACAATGTAGCTTTGGGACATTAGGGACTTAGGGTGCATTTTATTGCAATCTTTTTGCACCCAATCAAGCTTTGCCTCAAAAAAAAAAAAAAAAAAAAATCAAGCCAATTGCTTTATTTATTACAAAAAAAAAAAACACTTCTTAGTGTTGTTCTTAGGGATAGTGAGAGATAGTTACATATACTCGGGTGCATGGTGCAGCCAAGGGTATTGTTTGTTCATTATTACCCATGCATCCGGGTATATATAATTATTTTTAAGGGATAGCAAAATTAGCAATGGCAAGATCATAATTATGTACAAACATTTTTGGATTGCATTTAATATTTATCTATTAACCGAGAACATGAAATTGAGAACAAAGAAGAGAATATACACAATTTTAACATGCATTAAATTAATTGACTTTGTCAAAAAAAAAAAAAAATTGACATATAATTAGTATATATACTACCAAATATCTAACATCAAATTATCAAAACACGAAAGAAATTTTTAAAAAACTTTATATTATTGGTTTTCTAAGAAATATTACCTTCAATGTGGAGGAAAGAAATAAATGAAACCGTATTACCTGCATAAACTGAAGTTTGTAAATTATAAAGTAAATAGAAATTGTAAATAGGCACATACTCAACATCAAGCCAATACAAAAGCTAAAAGGAGGGGAAAAAAAGGGTACCAAAAGCAAACTTAAAGCATGCATTTCTTTTATTCGATATACTTAATACTTGTATGAGTTAGTAAACAAAGGTACTAGATAAAAGGTGATAGTTTTTATTCATTTTATGTTACATATAATCAAATACTTTGCAGTACTCTTAAGTCTTAGTTACTTGATAAGTATTGAATATCTAATTTTCGTCAAAAGAAAAGTATTGAATGTAATTAAGGAAATAATTAAATATCCAAGGAGTTTTTTTTTTTTTAAAAAAAAAAGCAAATAAACAAGCAGTTATTTTTTTTTTCTTTTTTTTTTTTTTTTTTTGAGTTGGAAAATATCCAAGGAGTTAAGTATCATTAGTATGAGTAATTTCGGCAAATTAGCTTGTAGACCTAAAGAGTTACATTGTAGGGAAAAATTAAATACGAAGGTTGTTAATAGAGATCATGGTAAACGTTTCGGCAATTTTTATTTCCAAGTGAAAAAATAAAAAAATTCCAACATTAAAGGCTAATATGCACGCTTTTTGAGAAATTTTGGAGGTTTCAGAGCCCGGTGTCGAAAAGTCTTGTAGCTCTATGGGATACAACTCAGGGTCATACAATGCATAAAACCATATGTGATCATTATTATTTTTGTCATAAATGTTCGTGGTAGTCTTGAATTAATGAAATCGGTGCAAGTTGTAAACCAGTAAATTGGTCGTTTAAAGGCAAATTGGATGGTTCCACCCACACAATTGGACTCCCAGAGGGTATTAAGGACCACAGTAAACATTTCGGCAATAATTATTTCCGGGCAAAAAAAAGTCAAAAAATTCCAAAAGTCGGGGCCCGGTGTAGAAAAGTCTTGATATTTTAGGGGACACATCTCGTGGTCAGATAATGCCGTTTAGAACCATATATGATCATTATTTGTTGCCATAAATGTTCGTAGTAGGCTTGAGTTATTGAAATCCGTGCAAGTTGTAAACCGATAAATTGGCCGTTTAAAAGCAAATTGGATGGTTCCACCAACCCAATTGGACTCCGAAAGGGTATTAGGGACCATGGTAAGCATTTCAGCTAAAGTAATTCCGGGAGAAAAAAAGTCAAAAAATTCCAAAACTGAAGACTAATATTCACGCTTTTTGAGAAATTTTGGTGATTTTAGGGTTCGGTTCGAAAAGTCCTGAAATTCTAGGGAATACATATCTGGGTCATATAATGTCGTTTGGAACCATATACTTCCCCCGTTCTTTTATTATTGCACCACTTGCCTTTTTAGAAAGTTTCACAAATATTGCACCATTTACTCTTTGGGAAAACAATTATTTGTGTTCACACTACAAAGACCCAACATACCCTTGCTTTTTCACACTTACTTTTTAGTTTATCAATATATCACATGGGCAATTTTGTATTTTTACCTTTCTCTCTCTTACTTTTTTCCACTACCAAAATATTTGTACCCAACTCATATGGTGCAATAATAAAAAAACGGAGGAAGTATGATGATTTTTTGTTGTCATAAATGTTCGTGGTAAGCTTGAGTTAAAAAAATCGGTGCAAGTTGTAACCGGTAAATTGGTCGTTTAAAGGCAAATTGAATAGTTTCACCCACACAATTGGACTTCCAAAGGGTATTAGGGACCACTGTAAACATTTCGGCAATTTTAATTCCGGGCAAAAAAAAGTCAAAAAAATTACAAAACTGAAAGCTAATATCCACGCTTTTTGAGAAATTTTGGAGGTGCCGGGGCCCGGTGTAGAAAAGTCTTGATATTTTAGGAGATACATCTTGGGGTCATATAATGTCGTTTCGAACCATATATGATCATTATTTGTTGTCATAAATGTTCGTAGTATTCTTGAGGTATTGAAATCCGTGCAAGTTGTAAACCGATAAATTGGTCGTTTAAAGGCAAATTGGATGGTTCCACTAACCCAATTGGACTCCCAATGGGT